TATTCTTGCCTCCAGCACCACTCCCAGCTTTAATCAACTTTAATAGAAAACATTTTTAAAAATCAGATACAATATCTTACCCATCTTTCATAATGGTAACTGTACTACCAACCTATCTGGATGCTGTGATAAGATATCCTGACAAAAGCACTGTGAGATAAAGGGTTTATTCTGACTTCCAGTTGGAGGGACAGTCCATCCTGGGGAAGTCATGACATCAGGAGCCTGATGCACTTAGTCCACTCTCAAGAGATTCAGAGATATGAATGCTCCTCTTTGACTTTTGTTTGCCTTTGGTTCAGTCCAGGACCCCAGCCTATGGACTAGAGCCACACACCTTGAAGCTGGGTTTCCACTCCAATTAACTTACTCTAGATAATCTGTCACACTCATGTATGCCCAGAGGTTTGTCCCAGTCAATATAGCATGTTGAGTGTTCATGGCTTAACATTACAAAGGTTTATTACTTTCTAAGGTGATCATTTGGCCCACATTCCCACAAGAACCAAACAAGTTGGCCATTATAACCCTGATAATACAAATGAGAAGCAGGAAACAAAATGTTCGTTAACTAAGGTCTAACAAGAACAAAATAATGAGGCTCATCTTCCTACATCCAGGTTGACTCTTCTTTGCCACTGTCTACTGTATTTCGTGGGCCTGTCACTTCTTGCCACTGGAAGCAGGTTCATATACAGCAAGATGAACACTTCTGATCATGGTTTTATATCAATGGATTTTTTTCTCATCTTGTCATTTGGTATAATTATCTGTCTCATATTTAAGGACCAAATTTACAGGCAAATATTGGGACCTAGAAAAGATCACCTTGAATGAGGTAACCCAAAAGCAGAAAGAAACACATGGTATATACTCACTCATAAGTGGTTATTAGACATATAATATAGGACAAACATATGAGAACCTATACTCCTAAGGAGGCTAAACAACAAGGAAGACCCTAGGGAAGATGCTCAATCCTCATTCAGAAGGGCAAATGAGACAGACATGGAAAGCAGGAGAAGACAGGGAACAGAACAGGAGCCTACTACAGATAGCCTCTGAAAGACTCTACTGATGAGGTATGATGAAGCAGAGGCTAAGACTCATAGCTAAACTTTGGGCAGAATGCATGGAATTTTATGAAAGAAAGGGGAGACAGAAAGACCTGGAGGGGACAGGAGGTCCAATAGGAGACCAACACAACCAAACAATACTGAGCCCTGGGGGCACTGCAGAGACTGATATCCCAACCAAGCACAATGCATGGAGAAGACCTAAAACCTCTGTCAAACGTACACCATCTGAGATGGAGTCTCCCAAATGGGTTCCCTAGTAGGAGAGCAGGGGCTGTCTCTGGCATAAACACAGTGGCTCGCTCTCTGATCACCTCTCCCTGGCGGGGGGGAGGGGGGAGGGGGGCTGCAGCTTTGCCAGGCCACAGAGGAAGACAATGCAGACAATCCAGATGAGACCTGATAGGCTATCAAATAGAAAAGGAGGAAATACTCCCCTATTAGTAGACTAGTGGAGGGGTACAGGGGGAAAAGAGGGAGGGAGGGTGGGATTGGGAGATGAGGGACTAGGTCATAGCAGGGATACAAAGTGAATAAATGATAATACTGAATAAAAAATTCAAACACAAAAAGGACACAGAAACCTTGAGTCTATCAATATTGCATGATATAGTAATAATGTGATCAGAAATATTTCCTATAAGTATATGTTCACAAAAAAAGCAGTAATTCTTAAAAAATGGTTTACTGGATGAAGGTGCTTGCCACCATAAACAGAGACTGGAGACCATACATCCCAAGGACACACATATGGAAGAAGAACAGTATTCTCCATATTGTTCACTGATCCCAACATTAATGCCGTGCTACATACAAACACCTGCAGATATAAATAACAAATTTTTAAAAGAAATTATATTTGAGGGCCAGAGAGCTGACTCAGAAGTTAAGAACATTAGCTGCTCTTCCAAAGGTCCTGAGTTCAATTCCAGCCATCCATATGGTTCTAACCATCTACAATGAGATCTGGTACTGTCTTCTGTGAGCAGGCACACACACATGCAGACAGAACACTATATAAATAAGAAATATTATTTAAGTGTTTTTTTTCCTATATTTTCTAGGTCAAGATTGACGGGTAGAACCCTTTCTTTCAATGCCCTGAATGAAGGGAATTGGGCTCTGGTAGAGTAGCGCAATGGAAGAAAGACAAGAAGAAAGAGAAGAGAGAGTGGAGACAGAGATTCGGTTGGGATTAGATGTCACTGTCAACAGCAGTCTTCTCTGAAGAGAACATGACATGAGTCCTAACATCATCGTCTCACAAGCTTTAAGCCTGCCCCTTTCAAATGAATGGCTGCTTGAGCTGGTGGTAGCCCAGGGACAGTTAAAAGACAGCCCCTCTCCCATCTGCTCCCAGAGACTCCACTGGTGAAGCCGGTCTGGACATGCAGATGGTAAGAGCAGAGTATATGGTATGCTTGGGTCTTTAAACTTCAACTTCAGGGCACAATAACAAGGTACACCCTGTTATTTATTTGGCCTTTGGGGACCCTAAATTTAAAAATTCTGATTAAAATTTAAAAATCAAAGTCAAGACTAGAAGATCTGATATTCTTGGATGCGGGAGAATTAGTGCATTACTTAGATAGCATCAGCACACTAACACTCTCTGCTTTTCAGAATGCTGAAGTGAGCTCCGGTTGAATATCTCACTGCCAAGTTCTAGGCCTAGCTAGGACACTTAGCCTGGGAAGCAGCAACTGAAAGACCTGGACTCTGGACCTCAGGGTGTGAACATGTACTGGAAACACTCAGGCAGCTATCAGCATCTTCCTCCTGTTGCTTCAGTAGCCCTGCCTACAGGCCGTTTTTCCTCAAGACAGTGAGTGACCTGAAATGATGCACATGAAACCTTGGCAACTCTAACTTTTGGGTATCACTGACACAGGTAAGTCTTAGGTTGCATAGATCTAAAGCCATTTACAAAATGGACTCTGTTGCTTGGGCACACAGACATGTACAAATTGGTTTTGCTCAAGTAAAATTTCATTGTGTGTGTCTCAAAAATCAGAGCTGTATAAGTGTGGTTTGGGAGGACAGTGAGCACTTGAGAAATACACACAACAGGACAAAGAGGAGGTGCTCATCCAACACTAGGCTTCACCATGCATTCAACATCACCACAGCATTCTTACGTCTTCCCACAGCTTAGCATATCTTGCTGTGTCTCCTTGTTTCTCCTACAAATCTGCTGTCCTTTGGGTGGTGCAATCGCTTCCCTGCAAACACCTCTTTAACTGCTTGGGTTGGTTTGTCCTTTCCCGGGAGCCACCTTCCACCCCTGCTCCATGTAAATTATTTACTAACTAGAACTCCTGCTCTTTCTTCCTGTTCACCTGTCTCACTTTGCTTTGCAATTTTGAGCACTGGCCCTACAAGGAAGGAGGGAAAATGTCTTACCCACAGAAGACATGTTGTCTTGTGTACCCAAGGGGGTACTGAGGGGCCTTTAGGAGGTGGAACCAGAAAGATATGGGTTTTCTCATGCTAACCCAGTCCTATTTGAAACCTGCCTTTACCCATTGTCTCCACTGTGGACTGATGATCTCTGAAAATTAAGTTGATAAATTTGTGTTGTTTGAAGCTGTTACTTCATTAGCAATTTAAACATTGCTGCTTTGGAAGGCTGGGTAAGATTAAACACGTGCTTAGTTCATTGTTCTTGCTATGTAGGACACCCTTGTGTCCTTTGCCAGTTCTCAGAATAACGGGAGAAGATTTGTCTGTCACTGTGTACTGGGGGCTATTTGCCTTCTTTGTTTTGTACTAATGGCAAAAGTACCTTGTTTTCTATCCTACTGAGCGTCAATACATTATTGCCAGTTTTGCTATTTCACACAGTGTTGTTGTGGGTACTTTTGTTTTGACTCCTATTCTGCATGTGTAAGAGTGTCTAACGGGAGGGTGAGTTGATAACTGCCTGGGATGATGAGCCCACGTGCAGCCAGGGACCCCTTGAAGGAAGCCCATGTGGACTGTAGAAAAATAGCTCATTCCCTTCATTGCATGGGCTGCATTGCTCATCAGCATGGATGAGCAACACATTAAGACACTTACTCTCCTCAACAAGTTGAAATTTGCATTTTGCAAATTTAAAAGGGCAACTTGTTTCAATTTTAGCATGTGCTTCCTGAAAGACCTGCAAAAATGCCCATATATGATGGCAGTTGGTGAATTTTCTTACACTGCCTGGATGATGTGGTGTAAGAGAGACAGGCATGACTTGCACAGCACAATGCCTCATGGGAAAATGTCACTGGGGCCTTATGGTCTTCATGTATTAAATATGATAATTTAAGTGATACAAATTTAAGTGCTATTTACATATGGAAATTTGGAATGTGTCCCAGTGAATGGGGTACAAATTGTTTTCCTTTAAATAATTAGAATTTTTTCAGTTAAATAGTTAAAACTACTGAAGTGCAGACACTGGACATGACTTTGACAAACGTCCCCTGCATTGTGTTGGTAGTGGAACTCAAATGTTGATGACACAGATGCACTTTCCAATAAGCAATAAACATTATTCTCCCCCAAGAGGAAGGGAAAGCTAACAAGGAAGGATGTCACCAAGCTAACAGGAAGGACCTCACCAAGGATCCTGTTCACAAGTATTAAATCCTCAGAACCTTGTCAATGGTGGCTCCCAAATTCTCTCCCAGGGTCCTCCTCAGGCTGAAGAGTGAGAGATGACTTCTCACTGCTAACCCCACAGATCAGATGCATTTACTCTCCTGGAGCACTTCTCTGCTTTGAGTTGCTCCTTTGAGTTAGAGGGGAAGGCAGTTGAAAGCCCAGAGGCATGGCACTTCACTGTGGTATCTCTTCCCTCTAGTGGACACAGCTGGAAATTTCATGGTGAGAGACACAGCTGCTCAAAAGTGCATAAAATCTTTTGAAAGGTCGCTTTCTTCAACTCACCTTACAAAGCTTCTTGCAGTTCTCTCATTCATTGTGAACTGGGGGTGGAGCAACTGCTTGCCTGCCACAGCACACATGTGCAGGTCAGAGGATGTCTCAGGAGGCTTGGCTCTGCCCTGTTACCTTGTGGGTCCCAGGGATGGCACGAAGATGGTTGTGTTTCCAGGGAACAGATCACCAGGCTGAGCCATTTCATTTGTCCCACATTCTGTACCTATCAAAGTGTATTTAATAAATGAAGGTTCAACAGAGGTTAAACCAGATGTTATATGGATTTTATACAGACACAATAATGGATCTAGATAGATGTTTGGAAAGTGACAAAAGCTGCTATAAGCACATTTAAACACATGGGGTTTGAAACTTTGTTCTCTGTCCTGCAAAGTGTGCCGACATAGAAATTTCTCAGACTATTTCTAAGAGCCTTTCTCAAAGGACACCTAACTTTAGTTACTATATTTTCTTCTAATTTTGTTTTGTACACTTTAATGGTTTTTAAAAAATTGTTTGATTTAGGGTTTTTTTTTTTTTTTTTTTTGAGAACAGATATAGGCTTAGTACAAATCCTAGCTCTTATTTTTAAAGGTTTATATTTGTATGAGTGTTTTTCTTGTATGTAGAAAAGTGTGGCATGTGTGTGTGTGTATGTTAGTTTCCTGCTGAATCTGGAAGAGAGTCCCAGTTTTACTGAAACAGGAACAGGTAGTTCTAAGCTGCCATGTTGGAGTTAAAAATCAAATTGTGGTCCTCTAGAAGAACAACATTCTTAACCACGGAGCCATCTCTCCTGACTCACCAATAAAAACAATTTACATTTCTCTCTCTCTCTGTGTGTGTGTGTGTGTGTGTGTGTGTGTGTGTGTGTGTATGTAAGGGCAGGCATGTGTCAAAGCATGAATGTAGAGGACAGAAGAATGCCCTCAGGAATAAGTTCTCTTCCTCTACCATGTGGATAGTAGGGATTAAATCTGGTCTTCAGGCTTGCTGGCAAATCCCTTTACATAATGAACTGTGCACTGTCCCAGCCTTTATTATCCTGGGCCATGTTCTCTTCCTCATACTCTTTTCCTTCCTCTCTTCTTTGTCTTTCCATTTTTCACCTCACCAATTTGGTTTTTTTCTAAGTGCTAAAATTAATTTAGTAAAACAAGAAGAATATTGGAGAACATAACACATGGGGAGAATCACAGCTCTGCTTCATTTATTGCTCATTGAATTGAGCCAATAATTAAGTAATTTTTCATAACGAATTATAAAAAATAATAACATGTAGTGACTTAAAACATCAGTCACCAGCTGTATGTTTTTAATATTGTCCTTCAACTGAATTCTTCCCAGGGATTTATAAGGAAGGCATTCATGGTTTGTGATTTTTATAACTATTGTCAGAACGAGTTTCTTTCTCAGCACAGCATGCAGGCCCAACAGGACACTGATTGACGCCACTATTGTTAAATAATCAATTGTTGGTAAGTTTCTGTCAACCAGGACCCAGAGCATAATTGTCTAAGTTATTAATAAGCATGTTCATGTAAGTGTCAGCTGCTAATGCAAATATTATTGGAATCCGAGTCATGGAAAAGCAATGGTATTTTGTTTGCTACAATTAAACTTCCTACACAGACAGGGGACATTTCCCTAACAGTCAAGTACCATAGATCAGGAGACCCTAAACAACCCTCTCGTCACAGAGCTCAACAACTCAAAAGCCATCCCCTGCTCCGTCACTGGTATTGGTCAGGAGATGATGACAACTCAGGGGAGAGCTGGCTGAGGTTTCCCATGAGTCAGGGTCCATATTCTGAGGGGCTAGAATGAGGAAGTAAGATGAATTGGACATTGGCTTCCTTAGTTTCTGCCTAGAGGAATATGCACTGCCTGAGCTACATTTTTGCAGAAATGAACCACAAGCTTGCATCCATTCACAAGTGGAAAAGGGAAAGGGGGTGTGTCTAAATACTTCCAAGGATACAAACCCTCACTCCTAGGCACTGAATTTCAGAAAAATGAAATGTAGTGAATCTACTATTTTTCCCAATAAACTCTCCATTTCTGAAGACAAGACTACACTTCTGTCCCATTAGGTTCTTACTAACTTTGGGTTTGTTTCAACATTTGGAACAGGCAAAGGCTAACAAGAACCTAAGGGAAGGAAGCAAGCCTTAAGATCCTTTACAAGAGTGACAGTGGGAGGAGCTTCCACTCGCCATACAATGCCATCATGATATGTCAAACTATATCACAACCAGATGTGGAACCTGGAAGCCCAGAGCCAGGGCAAGCGCTGAGGCACACAGCACTTCTGCCTCCAGTGCGTTGGCTGTGCTACCTGGTTCTTCAGGCAGCTTTCATTGTGATTTCCACAAGTATGGACTCTACCAAGGCTCACTGTGGCTTGGAGCCCAAATTCTCTCCCTCTCCCCACTCCCCACCCTAAAGAAAATTTCAATTGAGTTTTCTACAGTCAGGACTGCTACCTCAAAAAAAAAAGAGCACATTGAAAATTTGTCAGCTGGGTACTCTTTCATAATGACACCTACATCTTCACAGTCTTTATTGTCCAACTCTCTTAATATCCCATCTGATGCCAACTCCAAAGGCAAGACTAAATCTGAGCTCTTCAGCCTGCATTTTCTGACCATGAACATACATGTCCAGTATGGATAAGACATCTCCTAGTGATCCTTCTACCATCAAGAAGACATCAAACCAAGAATACCCAAAGAAAGTCCAACAGACATGGACTTTGACTTGGAAACCAGAAAGGTGTAGGAGAGCTAATAGTGAACAACTGAGAAAATGCAAGCCAACTATTACTTCTCTGTTGTATCACAGACAACAGTGTAAAGTCATGAGCCCTGAACACCCACCTAAGGATCAAAATAGAAAATGGCAGTTTGAGGGAGAAAATAACTTTCCATCTGAAGAAGGACCTGAGCCTCAGAAGAGGGTGAAAGAGGAAAAGGTTGAAATGTACCTTGGATGTAAAGAGCTGGTCCAGGGTCAGATATGGAATGCTCAGGAACAGGATAGAGTACACAGAAATCCCAGAGAGTTCAACCAAAACCCTCAGGAAGAGGATACCACTGAGGTGAAGCTTTTTGATGGTGACAAGGGACTCAAGCGACCCTTCTGCAACAAAGAAAAACATGTTCAGAAACCACCACAAAGAAAAATACCAGAGGTTGTTGGAAGAGCTTCAACCTAGTGGTGCTATGAGCTCTGACCCTCACAGCATTCACTTAAGCCCTGTGGACACCGTGAAGTCAAAAGTGTATACATCAAAAGTGTATACTGCCAAAGTCTCAGTTCCAAACCAAATCATTCTGAGTCAAAACAGCCTGTCAGTGATGCCCCAAAAGAAGATCAGTTACCATTCAAAGGTGAAAAAAAGATGCTCAGAGGTAGATATATGTCATCTAGAGAAGAGAGAACAAGCAAACATCAAAGAGGAGAAAAGGAGACTGCACCCCTAGCCAGACTTCCTGAGAGGAGCCCAGACCCAACTCTTCACAGACAGGCTCAGCAAAGACACCCTCAACAACAACAAAATGCCAACACCAGAGGCCAAGAAAAAGGGTAGCACAGATCAAGAGGAGAGAGGAGAGCTGGACCGTGGCTCTGACATCACAGCAGAAATGGAGAAAGAAATTCGAAATGCCCTTGGCCACAAGATGAAGTTTTGAGTTGTGCTTTTAAACTGCACATCACTAGAGCAGACATGCACACACTTAAGGACATGCAGTGGCTCAATGATGAAGTCATCAACTTTTATATGAACCTACTCATGCAAAGAACTCAAACTCAAGGTTACCCCACACTGCACGCATTTAACACCTTCCTTTATACCAAACTAAAGAGTGGGGGTACAAATCTGTAAAAAGGTGGACCCAGGCCATAAACCTTTTTGAGAAAAACTGATTCTGGTGTTCATACACCTGGATGTCCACTGGAGCCTGGTCGTGGTAAATTTAAGATGGAAGAGCGTTGTCTACTTAGACTAGATGGGGCAGGAGAGACCTGACATTCTTAAGCTGATTTTCCACTATCTGCAGGATGAGAGCAAGGCGAGAAGGAATATAGATCTGAACCCTTTGGACTGGAAGCAGTGCAGCATGACAGCAGAGGAGATTCCCCAGCAGCTGAATGGAAGTGACTGTGGAATGTTCATGTGTAAATACGCAGACTACATCTCAAGAGGCCAGCCCATCACCTTCTCTCAGAGGCATGTGCCTCTGTTTAGGAAGAAGATGGTGTGGGAAATCCTGCACAGCTGCTTACTGTAGCTGTGCCCACCTGGCTGTTGAGGCTGCTCTGCAGCCTTTCATGGATGTGGCTGAGGACTTCAGACAGGGTGGGTTGAAGAGCCTTGACACAGGACTGGAAAAAGTGGGTGATGCCCCACACTCCTCTGTGTAGTGCAAACCTGGAGCGAGGAAGAGCTAGCTGCATCTGAAGCCATCATCAAGATGATGTGCCCGCCACAATTAGAAACCATTCAACCCACACAACACAACATGGGCTCAAGCATGCTGCTTCAGAGATTTTCTTTGTTAATAAGGTCAATGTTTGGATTCTTCTTTCAATTATTTTCCTCTTTTGTTTTTTGTTTTGTTTGGTTTGGTTTGGTTTGATTTGGTTGGTTGGTTTTCTTTGTTTTTGTTTGTTTGCTTGTTTGTTTTTTTGTAATTTTGCTATTCTTGTATATAGGTTTTAGCTAATGGCCAGAGGCTATTTTGAGTGGTTTTTAGGGTTTAATTCCCTACTGTTTGCTTGAACTCTTTGTATCTAAAATGAATGTCAATCAAGTGTCAGCCTCCACTGGGGATTAGGCTAGGTGCTCTAATTGAAGAACTCTGACCATGTGACCTAGGTTGGGGTTCAGCTACGAGTATTAGGAAAAGTGTCACAGATGTTTCAAGATACACTATTCTCTGAACCTAAATTGATCAGTTTTGCTCTTTGAGGGGAATGAAGTAACCATATTTGGAAATGTGTATCTTTCAACCAGGACTCCTTGAATACATGCCTC